CCAAACTTATTTGACTACGGGATCTGTTATTTAATTCAGCATCCCAAGGGATTCATGCTCAGCAGAAAACAATTTGGAAGATGCTAGGCTTTGTCATCCTGATATCCAATTCTATAACTCTTCCAAAATCTTTGCTGAATTCATAGCAACAAGCATTTGCGAAGTACAAGCCACATGCTGAGTCCAGTGCTAAGACCGTAGGGGACGCCAAGAGGAATAAGGTCCCCAACCCCAAAATATTTATACTGCACTAACAATATCCAGACAAGTGCATAAGTAATATTAATCCTGCCCAGAATATGAAATTAGAAATTATGAAAGTGTTTTAAAGGTTCAAAGGTTGGAAATTCACTACTCGGCAGATCTTTATATCACACAGAACAAATATCTAAACTCCACTTTTACAAAACTGAGCTTCTGATATTCCCCCATCTAGTCCTGCAAACCTGCAAAGATGCAGTCCTCCCCATCTGGATGAATGACCGCAGGCTCAGGCTGAGTAACCCTCCTCGACTATTCTTTACTCTCACAGCTCACAACTAATCCTGCAGCAAACTTTGTTAGCTGTGCCTTCAAAATACATCCTAAAGACAAACCCTCCTCTCCAGCTCCACTGCCACACACGGGTCAGTGACCCTCAGCGCTGGCCTCGTTCCCTGCTCTAATCTCCTTACCTCCGTCTTTGCACCCTATGTCTCTCCCCAACCCTGCAGGGGGCGTGATCCCTTTAAAACCCCAAGCAGATCATGGGATCCTCTGATTCAAACCAACTCACCAGCGCAAGCGCAAGACTTCACAGTGGCCTGTAACTTCTCAATATTTGCCCCATTTTCTCTTTGCCCTTTTCCCTCCTGTTCCATTGTGACAGGGACAGTAGCTTCTTCACGGCTCCTGACACTCCCTGGGCTGGTCCCTGCCCCTGCACCACTGCATTTGCTGGACCATGCTCCAGCCACACCCCTCACAGGATCTCTCCTGGCCCTTCTTCATGCCACCTTAGAAGTCTACAAAGGGCTTCAATGTCCTCTTCTTGGTAGGAGAACACCCACTGCTAACAATAACCCCCCTCCCTGGCACCCTGTCCCCTGCTTCATTTTGCAGCCACTCATCTGACACTAAAAATCCCGGCTGCTCCTGGGTTCACTGCTTCTCTCTTCCCACCAGAACAGGACCCAGCAGAGCACAGGAGTTCACCCGTTCTGTCCCCAGCTGCTTCCCCGCACACAGAACAGCGCCCAGCGCAGGGTTCAACAACCTCATGAATAAAAAGCCCACAGAACCCGTTGGGGTGCTCAGGAAGGCGTGTGAAGAAGGTGGCATCTGGAACCTGCCATGGAAGAAAGCCACAGCCTCCAGCGCGGCTCAGATCCCGGCCACCCACCAGAGGCCGTGTCTGGCCAAGGCTGGGTCGGGACTCTGTCTCTCTGGGTGGAGCCTGGATTGGTGGTAGAATCCTGAGAGGGCCTTCAGGGTGCGGGGAGAAGACGGGCACGTGACATAGCCTCTGATCCCATCAGAGTGGCTGGCTCCACCTCTGGGGACATTTAGCATTCTGCACAGGATCCCATCTGAAAGGTGCTGTGTCGTCACCAGGAAAAGCTGGAAAACCATTGCTCCTGGAGGTCCCTCAGACACCAACCAGCCTGTCCTTAGACATCTAGAACCACAGGGACCACCCAGGCAGG